AGGCTCTAGGGGAGAATCCATTTCCTGACCTTTTCCAGTTTCTAGAATGAAGAAGAGGAGGCAGGGAGAACCTTCAGGTGGTGTTGCTGGGAAGGGAGGGGGGAAGGGCCGAGGGTGGGTAGGAGGAACCTCAGACAGCAGTGCAGCTCTGAGAAAGGCTTAACCAGGCTGGCGGGGAGCCCCAAGGCTGCCACTCAGGCTCGTCCACTCAGGCTGCCACAGGCCGGGGAGGGGGGCTTAAACAACAGAGATGTATTTCTCACAGTTTTGGAGGCTGGAAGGGCAGGATCTAGGTACAGCAGGGTTGGTGTCAGTGAGCGCTCTCCTCCCGGCCTGCAGGTGGCTGCCTTCTTGCTGTGTCCTCGCTCTGGTGTCTCTTCTTATTCTTGAAGGACGCTGGTCCTATCAGAGTGGCACCCACCCTTATGACCTCATTTAATTCTGATTACATCTTTAAAGGCCCCATCTCCAAACAGAGTCACATCAGGGGTTAGGGATTCGATTTGCGGATTTGGGGGGACATAACACAGTCTATAATACACGGGTTGCCTGTTCCAGCATCAGCAGGAGTGACCCTCCTGCCCCTGTCACGCTCAGCCGTTGGCTGGGAGCAGCCTGGGAGAGGGTGGCCTTCGAGCGAATGCTGCAGTGGCTCCGAAGGTGCAGCACCTGGAAGCTGACAGTCCCCACCTCCTCCCAGCTGGGCGGGATGTTCCACTGCTGCACCTATAATATTAAGAAGAACAAGGCCGCGCACGCTCAGAGCCTGCTGGTGCCAGCCCGTCATGGGGCTCAGCGTGCTCCTGGAACCTCTGCATAGCCCTGCGCAGTAGGTCCTCCTGTCATCCCCATTTTCCTGATGGGGAGGGAAACTGAGTCTTCGAAGGTGTCCAGCCAGGCCCCCAACCCCTTTATCTGAGGGTAGGTTTGGGAATTTGGAGAAGTCCCAGTGTTTGCACCTCTTGTGTCAAGTTCAGCTGTGAAGGTGTTTAACAGTCGCCCTCCCTGAGCATCCTGGCTCTAAGGGATAGGCCCAGGGCCAAAGCGCTCGTTCAGCAGCACTTCACTCCATCTGAGGTCATCCGACGTTAACTGTATGGCGGGGATGTACTTGTAGTAGGAATTTGATTTCAGAGCCCAGAGAGGTCCGGTGCTTTGTCCAAGATAACACAGCAAACCAGCAGCGAGGCCAAGAACAGAGCTTGTGCTCCTGGCCTAGTAGTAAGAAATCCCCCTGCCCTCCCTCAAGGCAGCTTGGCCCACAGCAAAGAGTCCCCTGGGTTCTACTCCCACCTCTGCCACTTCTGAGCTGGTGACCTCGGGCACATGGCATCTCTCCTCTGGGCCTTCACTTCCTTGTCTGGAAAATGGGGATAGCAGCATCTACCTCACCAGGCTTTACCTTCACACGCTCCCTGTGCCTCAGTGTCCCTATCTCTAAAATAGGGACACAACATCCCCACCTTACAGTGTTGTGGTGAAGATTGAATGAATTCTAAAATGTTTGAAGTGCTTTGGCCGTGAGGCTTCATCATAGCCTGACATTGGCTGAGGCATCTGAAGCCCTCCCCCACGCTCTCCCTCAAGTGGTAGAGCTAGGAGGCAGCACAGTGTGGGAAGAAGAGGCCACAGGCCATCTCAGCCCTGCTCCCAAAGTGCCAGCAGGCTTCCTGGAAGTCACCGGACCCCACTTTTTTCACCCGTGCACTGGCGTGAGGGTTGTTGGACAGATTAACCTGATAGGTCCCGTCCCTCACCCCCCCCCCCCCGGCGGGACTTTCTAAATGGACTCATTGGATCCCAGAGTGAAGTTCAAAGCAGGGTTGTTGGATTCTGGGGCTTCCAGGGACCGATGAGAATACATGAGCTGTACTCGGTCCCGAGATTTCACGGAGGTCACCATGCAGACAGCCGGCTCCCAGACAGAGCGGGAGGGCTTCCGGTCAGGGTCGGCACTGCCAAGCCCCGCTGTGCGCCCAGCACTGTGCAGTCTCTACACACGTCCTCCCACCCGGTCTTTGCAGCCTCGCTCTACACATGTGGCCCATTTTACAGGCGGGGTCCTTAAGTCATACTGCCTCTCACAGGATCTCTTTTCATTTTCCGATAATAGTTTCTGGGAAGTGGGCACTGTTCTACTTTTCTCACTTTATGAGGGGAAAGTGAAACTCCAGCCCCAAGAGATTCGGTCCCAGAGCTGGACTTTAGATTCTGGGAGCTTAACCACTGTGTTCTACCCTGTTACCAGCAAATGAAGGGGGAAAGACAGAGCCTTGGAACCCACTGAACCCGTGTGGACTATCTACCTAACCCAACTGCACCAGCTCTCCAGGCCACCGAGGTCAGCTGGCCCTGGGCAGAGTGCACAAGGCAGCACCCACCTGCAGGGCCTCCCAGCGGAATGAAACGTCAGTCCCTGACCCCGGGAATGGGGTCGGCGACATCCTTTATCACCCGGATGTAAGCTGTGGCTGGGACGGGCTTGTGGCCAGCCACACTCGAGCCACAAGCTGGATCTTGTCCACCTCCTTGGAACCAGCCAGCCCGCTGTGGCCCGCTCGGGGCAGCACTCTCCTGTGTTTATCCAACTCCCCTGACCCTGGCAAGCATCCGTCGCCTTTTTCTCCCTTTCTCAAAAACCAGGACACAATAGGAAGCGTTTCCTTGAACTTATTAAAAAATCCAGACTTGTAAATTAATTTGTCCATGTTGTACAAAGGCAGTGCAGATGAACTCATTAGCATGCACACAACAAATAATTATAGATGAATTTTTAGCTGGCCTGCCTAATGCGCTCGCTGGGTTAATTATGTCAATGTATAATTACATCAGCCCGGGGAGACATAATGGCACACCCTGCTGAGCAGGCCCTGCCTAATGACGGGGTGTGCAGGGGGTGCTGACAGAGGAAAGATGCGGCCTTCTCGAGCACCTGCTTACCTCGGCACAAACACCCATTGTCCGAGCCTCGCGCCACCTAAACAAGCAGGCGGGAGGAGAGGGACCTTGTTCCAGCCGGACCTGAAGGCCCCGTGTATAGGCACTACCTCATTGCTTCCATCAGCAGATATTTATTAGGTAAGACTGTGTGTCCATCCACAAGGGGTCCAGCAAGGGAGCAAAAACATGCAGTCCTGTGCCTACCTTGTTGCGAAGTTTCAGTCTAGTGTACGTTAGGTAGACTTACAAATCAATGAAAATTATAAGTAAAATGAACACTGTGAAGGAAGGGTACAGGCAGTGGGGAGAGCTCATATTGGAGGACTGACTGGTCACGGAAGGCTTCCTGGAAGAAGTGGCATTTGAGGTGCACAGACAAGTCAGCATTAACTAGCTGAAAGGGGGAGGTGAGGGCGGGGTGTTCCTAGCCGAGGCTCCTGCCTGTACAAAGGCTCTGGGAGGGGAAAGTGTATTTGAGGGACTGAGAAAGAAGGTCATTGTGACTGGAGCTCAGAAAGACAAGAATAGCACAGGCTTTCATTGGTTCTGAGCTGACTAAGTGCCAGTACCACACTGAGCACTTTGCATGAATCCTCATTACAGCCCCATGAGGAGGGTACTTTTATGGTGAGGTACAGAGAGTTAGAATCTTTTGCCAAAGTCACACAGCAATCCCAAGAAGCAAGTATAGGTTAGATCAGGACCCAGGGATCTATCCCCAGGGTCCATGCTCTTAATCCTCCTGCCCCCCAGCAAAGAGCAGTGGCCAAGCAGACGCTGGCAGGAGACCCCAGGAAGAGTGAGGGCTCCAATGCCTTTAAAAGGACTTTGGACCAGACCCAGATCCCTTGATCTGGAGTGAGGACGCCTTGGCTTTCCTGGGCTCCCAGGACACTCGCCTGTGGCTGTGGGGGTTGAAATGTCCACATCACTGGGACAGGAAGCCTTTGTGGCATCAGAGAAGGAGACCCAGACTCAAATCTCACCTCCGCTCTTCAGCAAGTTACCTGGTTCTCTAAGTCTTAGTTTTCTCATCTGTGAAAATGAGTTGGATCCAAGCCAGCCTCCAGATGCTGGGAGCATCACGGAACCTGTTCCCACAGACAGGCTTTGTAACCCGGGAGATGCTACACCCATCTCTAGCATTATCCAAGTGTTCTTAGTACTGGCCTAAGTGGGGAATTGGGCAAAGCCACCTGGAAGAAAGGTGCTGGATTCCAGATCTGAAGAAAGGAAGTGCTTGCTAGGTGACAGTGGGAGAGGGAACAATTCCAGACAGAAGGACCTGTACATTCCTCACTTTTTAGCTGTTGGGAAGTGGGGAGGCATCTAACATTCAGGTGTGCATTTCCAGGAAAGACATTATTTCACTGCCCCGCGTGTCAAAAATGATGGTGTACTAGTCAAGGTCCACTGAGAAGCACCCCAAGGATTCTGTGTGCAAGGACGCTGTTGAGGAAACACAAGTGGAGGAAAATGGGGAGGAATCTGGGAGAACTGGGTGGAAGCATCCAGACCACATACAACCTAAGGATGTGCTGGACAAGGCCTTGGGGGAGTCCTGTGCCCTCAGAGCAGTCCCATGTCCCCAGGAGCAGGTCTGTCTCTATCTTCGCTGCCTTCAAGCCTTGTCTGGAAAGGCTTGTGGGAAGGCTGGCCTCAGACTGAAGGATTTCAGAGCAGGGTCCTTGCTCAGTGACATTCCCTGTGGTTGGAAGCATGCAAGACAGTTTCATGGCCGCCACAGATGGCATCGTAGAATTTGGAAAATGCAATTATGGTGACAGTTATTATTGCTATTACTATTCCCAGCTGTGCAGGACACCCACGCCCATGGGGACAGCACACATTCCCCTGAGCCGGTGCCTGGAAAAGGCTGCTCCCTCATAAAGCAGAAAATCCATGTTGCTCCCCAAGGCCATCGGAGTAACTCCAGACAGCTCTTGTAGATTGTCCCCCCACCCTAACTCTCCATGGAGGGACCTACCAGGTCCCACAGACTCAGCCTGGGCATCCCTCAGCCCCTGGGTCCCTGCCACCCCTGTCCTTTCTCTCTGCAGACCCTGTCCCTGTATTTGAGGCGACGCGCAGCCTAGACGACAGACTGCAGCCCCCCAGCTTCAACCCCAGCGGGCAGCCGCGGCGAGATCTTCACGCTTCGTGGAAGAGACACCCCGAGCTTCTCAGCCCTAAAGGTACTGATAAGGCCTTCACAGGATGTCCATAGCAAAAAACTGGTCTGTGGATCTTTGGCAGCCAAACTCTGCCATTGAAGTTGGGGTGCACAGGAAATTCAACTTTATCATTTTATTTTATTTTAATTTTTTTTCTTTATTGATTTGAGAGAGAGGGAGAGAGATAGAGACATCGATGAGAGAGAACACTGATTGGCCGCCTCCTACATGCCCCCCACTGGGGATTCGGCCCACAACCTGGGCATGTGCTCTGACCGGGAATTGAACCACTGACCTATTGGTGCATGGGATGATCCTCAACCATTGAGCCACACCAGCCGGGCTCAACTTTATCATTTTAAATACAGGATGGGTTAAGGTACACTTCTGCTGAAACAGACCAACCCCGAATCCCAGAGGCTTAATATATTTGAAGGGTAATTACAGGGGATGCTCCACACAGTCACTCAGGGACTCAGGCTGTGGTGGTCCTGCCATCTTCAACATGTGACATCCAGATCACAGTGAATGTTGACAACCAGCCAATAGGCCAAAAAAGAATGTGGAGGTTCATACCAAGATTTACGGGTTCTGGCCTAGAAGTGGTGCACATATCACTTCCGGCCACACCCTACTGGCCAAAACTCAGTCATGTGGCCACACCTGCCTCAAAGGAAGCTGGGAAATGTAGTCTGGCTGTGATGCCAGGAGGAGGGGGAAACAGGATGTGATGAACAGCACTGTCTCAGCCCCAGATGAGACAAGTCAAGAAACTATCAGAACTAAATATATAATGTTTAGATATACATATATTGTGATTAAAATGTTTAAAGCAGGAGTGACCCTGTGGCCCAGCATTTCTGCTCCTACTCCAAAGGAATAAAAACAGGTGCTCAAACCAAAATGTTTATTAGCAGCACTATTCACAATGGCCAGATGGTGGGAACAATCCAACTGTCCATCAACTGACGAATAGAAAAACAAAATGTGGCATATCCAAAAAATGGAATATTATTCAGCCACAAAAAGGAGGGGAGGTCTGCTGCATGCTACAACCTGGATGGACCTTGAAAATATGTTAAGTGTAAGAACTCAGTCACAAAAGGATATACATTATGCTTCTATTCATGTGAAATGTCTACAATACCTAAATCCATAGAGACAGAAAGCAGGACTGGTGGTTGCCAGGGGCTGGGGAGTGGGGCGGAATTTGAGTGACTGCTTGATGGGGACAGGTTTCCTTTTGGGGTGGTGACAATGTTCTGGAATTAGTGGTAACGGTTGTACAATATTGTGAATATACTAAATGTCACTGAATTGTACACTTTAGAAATGGTGAATTTAGCCCAGCTGGTGTGGTTCAGTGGATTGAGCATCATCCCATGGACTGAGAGGTCCTGGTTCAATTCCTGGTCAGGGCACACGCCCAGGTTGCAGGCTCAGTCCCCAGAGGGGGCATGCAGGAGGCAGCCGATCGATGTTCTCTCTCATTGATGTTTCTATCTCCCTCTCCCTTCCTCTCTCTCTAAAAAATCAATAAAACATAATTTTTAAAAATAGTAATAGAATAATAATCACTTCTCAGCCTTTTGGCTAAGATCAAGTATAGTATCTGTTCTTCTCAGTTTAATAATAAATAAAATAAAAATGGTAAATTTTGTATTGTGTCTATTTGACCATGACTTTAAAGAAAGATAAGAAGGCAGGGACAGATCTGAGAGGGCAAAGAAAGCCTCTGGGTGTGCTGCACGAGGCTGGCATGATAGGAACTTGCTTTCATACACACGCTGGCCATGGCTGCAACCCCGCCGACCTCGGTGGCAGCAGGTCCCAACAGCTGCGCTCTCCCCAACACTGGGAAATTGATTCTTCTCACAGCACTTTTGATCGATCTGATTTGCAGAAAGTGGCTCTAGCTGTCACATCGCTCTCAGCAATGGGTGTTTTTCCATCTTCTTCCTCCAGAGCAGAGAGAGGGGACATCTCCAGCCGGGCCCACGCTGACCGAGGGGAGCCGCCTCCCGGGCATTCCCAGCAAAGCCCTCCTAACAGAAACTTTGCTGCAGAGAAATGAGACTGAGAAACAAAAGTGAGTTGGGGAGGAACGGGCAGGCTTCTGCTGCCCCACCTGGCTGGGGGTGGGGCCAGGAAAGTCACCCCCCCGCTCAGAACAGCTGGGGAGTCCAGATGCAGGTTGGAGGTGGAGATGCAGGCCTGCTTTTGAGCTCCATCTCGGCAGCTCCGTGGCCAGCCCTGGTCACAACTCCTCTCTGAGCTTCAGCTTCCCCACCTGAAAAATGAAGGTAAAGGTGGTGTTATTAGTCCGGGTGCTCCAAAGAAACAGAACCAGTAGAGTTTTTTTTCTTTATTGATTTTAGAGAGAAAGGAAGGGAGAGGGAGAGAGGTAGAAACATTGACGAGTGAGAACATCAATTGGCTGCCTCTTGCACACCCCCCATTGGGGATTTGGCCAACAACCTGGGCATGTGCTCTGACCAAGAATTAAACCAGTGACCTCCTGGTGCATGTGTCGGATGCTCAACCACCGAGCCACAGCAGCTGGGCACCAGTAGAATTTTTTAAAATTAATTAAGAGATGTATTTCAGGGACTTAAATCACACAGTTGGGGCTGGTAAGTCTGAATTGGTGGAGCTGGCCAGCAGGCTGGAAACTGCCGGGCAGGAGTCAGTGTGTTGCAGTCCAAGGCAGAGCTTCTAACTCAATTTTGTTCTTAAGACCTGCAGCTGATTAGATTAGGCCCACCCACATTATTGAGAATATCCTCCTTTGCTAATGTCACCTGATGTAGGTGTGAACCATATCTACAGAATACGTCACAGTATTTTGGGAAGGGGTCTCCTGAATCTGATGTAAGGCCCAGGCTTTGCCTAAACCTTCGCCAGTCCAGGTCGGGCCTCTTTTTCTCTGCTGAGATGCTTGCATTACGCCCGGGCTGGGCCCCAATGGGCTGGATGGACTTCCCAAACTCCTGCCAGGGGGGTGGGGGGAATGCCTCCCCGGGACAGTAATAGTAACTGACAACGTTGAGAAACATGCTGAGCATGCTTCCCAGCACCCACTGAGGCAGACCCCATTAGAAACCCCATTTTGTGGACCAGGAAACTGAAGCCCAGAGAGATGAGGTCGCTGGCTGCTGTAGGCCCCCCTCCCCAAAAAAAGTGCTGCCAGAATCTTAACTGGGCCAGCCATAATGGGGGCCACTTGTCAGCAAGACAGCAGGGCAGCTAAATGCCTGAATGTTGGATTTAAGGACATGTGTTGTGCTGTGTGGTGTTGTGTGGTGTTGTGTGGTGTTGTGTTGTGTTGTGTTGTGTTGTGTTGTGTTGTGTTGTGTTGTGTTTAAGACAGGTGCAGACTATAGGGAGCGGGCAAGGGAACAGGAAACTGGGATGGGGCTCAGGCAAGGCCAGTTCACACCGGTGTGAGCAGAACTGGCGTGAGCGGGCGGTCTCTCCACAGGGGCCTTCAAGAAGTACAAATCACTTTGGCAGCCAGACTGGGGGAGGCAGAGGAAAAGATCAAGGTCCTACATTCAGGTATGTATGTGGCATGTGGCCCTGGTCCTCACACAGCACCTTGGCCCTATCAGACCAGAAGGAGGTGGAAGAGGGAACACTATGAACACAGGCTCAGGTGTTTCAGAATCGAGAGGCAAGAAGGGAATTTGGGAAGGGGAAGGAGAGACCTACATTACCCAGCAGGGGTCTGAGCCCCAGTCCCTGGAGGCCATACTACTGTGGAGACAAGGTCTGAGATAGAATTAAAATAGGGGTAGCAAACATAGGGCCTTCAGCATGCCAGCACACAACCGAGCAGGTCTGTTTAGGGAAGGCAGTAGGGAAGGGTGGGGTCTGGAGCAAACTGGAGAATACAGCCTTATCTAAAGAGGTGGCCCCTGCTGAGCACCAGCCAGCCACTGCCTTATGGCCCAGTGTAGCCAATCCCTTCAATTTTTCCAGAGAAATCTAAAATCTGAAACTTTATGAAAAATCCCTCATTTATCGTACTTGTGTCCATTGACTTTCTTACTCCTCCCTTTCCCCCTCACTTTTCAGGTCTGGACCTCAGGGTGGGTGAGCTTTGGGGAGATGGTCTACCCTGGAGTGACCTAGGGTGCTAGAGGGCTCATACCCCAAGCCATGGGACAGACAGGGTCCTCTGAAGTTTATTTATTTATTTTTTTAAGAACAGGAAGGAGAGAGGAAGGGAGAGAGAGAGAAACATCGATGTGAGAGAGACACACCGAGTGGTTGCCACCCACATGACCCTAATGGGGCCAGGGACAAACTGCAACCGAGGTACGTGCCCTTAGCGGGAACCGGACCCGGGACTCTGGTCTGCAGGCTGACGTTCTAACCAATGAGCCAAACTGGCCAGGGCGGGTCCTCTGAGATTTAGAATGTCATCTTATCTGCCCTCCCCACCCCAGCCACTCCATGTGCCTCCCACTAGCTTGAAGCCCCTCTAGGGGTAAGAAACTCACTACCTGTCACCAGTTTTAACCAAAAGAAAGGCCTTCTCTCATTATCCTAGACCTCATTCTGCTCCCACCTCCCTGGGGGTGGCGCCTCACCCTGGCTCTTTACTTTCTCCTAGCGTTGAAGGCCACGCAGACAGAGCTGCTGGAGCTGCGGCGGAAATACGATGAGGAGGCGGCGTCCAAGTAAGTGAACACCCTGCTGAGGTGTACCTCCTCCCTCGGACTCTCCCAGACATGCCTCCTGCCTCGGACCCTCCCAGACATGCCTTCTCCCTTGGACCCTCCCAGACATGCCTCCTGCCTCGGACCCTCCCAGATCATGCCTCCTGCCTCGGACCCTCTCAGATATGCCTCCTCCCTCGGACCCTCCCAGACATGCCTCCTCCCTCGGACCCTCCCAGACATGCCTCCTCCCTCGGACCCTCCCAGACATGCCTCCTCCCTCGGACCCTCCCAGACATGCCTCCTGCCTCGGACCCTCCCAGACATGCCTCCTGCCTCGGACCCTCCCAGACATGCCTCCTCCTTCGGACCCTCTCAGACATGCCTCCTGCCTCGGACCCTCTCAGACATGCCTCCTCCCTCGGACCCTCCCAGACATGCCTCCTGCCTCGGACCCTCCCAGACATGCCTCCTGCCTCGGACCCTCTCAGACATGCCTCCTCCTTCTGACTCCCCCAAACATGCCTCCTCCTTCTGACTCTTCCAAATATGCCTCCTCTTTCCGACTCTGCCTGAGGTACCCATTTTATTAAGCACCCTCTGCTCCCCACCCCCAGAGACACACAGCTATTCACTGGTCATTGCTGTGCCATTTGAGTGCCACAAACTATAAATGACGTTCTGGGTTACAGGCTGAGCAAAGTCTGCTGGGCAGAAACCTGCACCTCACCCCAGCCTCCTGGGGCTGTCTCCCTCCCACTTCCACAGTCTAACCCTCAGGGCCTGTGGGGAGCATTTGGTGACTAAAAGCCACACAGGTGCTTCACTTAAATTACTCTGTACTCACTGTTTCTTCGGCATTTAAGACATTGCTTATTCCACAAATACTTATCTTAGTGCCTACTTATTTACCCAGTGCTGTGCTGGGTCTTGGAGGAAATGTTAGAACATGGCCCTGGCGGACACTGACTGGTGTCATTCACAGACACTGCTGAGTATTTACTGTATGCCCAACACTGTTCTGGGCACATGCTCCCCATAGGCCTCCTGTGGCCCCACCCCACACCAGGCAGAGGGGCAACCAAGGTGGAGGAGGCCTGTCCTGACCCCCTAGGTGCTGGAGGGAAAAGGGCAGCAAAATAAATGAATGACCACCATGGGGAGTAGAGAGAGGGCTCCTGGGATGGCACTTGGGAGCTGGGTTTTGAAGCGCAGGCCCGTGCTCTTGGGGAAGGCATTCCAGGGGGAAGGCTCGTTGGGGGCCGAGGCGGGGGGCTCAGCTCTGCAGGCAGCTTCAGAGTGGACCTGGCGGCGAGGAGGCCAGGGTGCAGTGCTGAGGCCCCGTTCCCATTTCCCCGTGGCCTGGGTTCCTTACCCCCAGCCTGGTTTCTTCAGTAGGAAGGGTGGAGGGCAGCCTCCCCAGCCTTCAATTTTAAGAGTCTTGGGTTCAGGCAGGGGCTGGGGGTATCAGGATGGGCAGGGGCCCTGGTGATGGCCAGAATCCCTTCCTCAGAACCTTGTCTTTCTGTCTCAGGGCAGATGAAGTTGGCCTAATCATGACCAACCTGGAGAAAGCTAATCAGGTGAGGAGACGTGTGCTGGGGGGGGGCTCATTTTGCACGTGGTGGGGGTCTCGGGCCAGGCCGAGAGGACAGGGCTACGCTCGATTAATATTTATTGACCTACATACTGTGCAGAGCACTGGGGCTGGGGAATGTGTGGGACCCAGTCCCTGAGTTCTCAGGAGGGAGAGCGAAGGTGCAGACCAAAGACTTAGAAATAGGACGATCCAGACGGCAACCGTCAGGGAAGGGGCACCTGACCCAGGGTCAGGGATCGGGGAAGACATCCTGGAGAAAGGGGTGTGAGCTGAGACCTGACAAATTAATCCAAACTGTGGAAGGGTGGCATTTCAGGACAGGGAACAGCCTGGGCAAAGGCCAGGAGGCAGCCTACACAGCAGGCAGGAAGCCTGTCCAAGTGTCTTTGGGCAGCAAGAGGAGAGAAGCAAAAGAGTGGTCAGTGATCCCAGCCCACAAGTGCCTGTCTCCAAGCCCAGGTTATGGGCCAGATCCCCAGTGGGGAGCGTGCAGGAGGCAGCCAATCGATGTTCTCTCTCACCGATGTTTCTCTCTCTCTCTTCCTTTCTGTCTCTCTAAAATCAATAAAAAATATATATTATTAGTTACATAGCAATAACCATGCCAGTTTGCCCTAATTCTGACCCTGGGGTGATGAGATGAAAACCAGATGTCATCCTGCATGCACCGGAGTTGGTACTGTAGGTGAGGAAGCCCCCAAATAGGAATCTGGGTTGTTACATAGGAAAGGGAGCTGCTGAGAGAGGAAGATAAGTTTATCTCCTAAGTATCATGTTGAGTGGAAGGGCAGGGCCCTGGCTTTTAGCATCTGGGAGGCAAGTGCTTCTCTCCAGGAGAAGATAAGCCTGGTCCTGGAAACCCAGTTTTACAGCCCAGGGGATGTCTCCACAGGCTGGGTCTCCTCCCCCTTGGAATGTGAACGCACACCGTTAGGGGGAGCTAAATCTCTGGAGCTCCCTCTGGAGTTCTCTCACCAGCCCATTGGCCATAAATTGTCTTCCAAGGCTTGTCTTTTAGTCCAGATCCCAAGTTTCAGTCAGATTTTCTCAGAAAGCCCTAACTGTGCAGAAACAAAAATATTTACAACCACACACACGCAAAATAAAACTGACTTGAACCTTTTCTGGAACAAGGCAGGATACCAATAAATAAACAAATCCATCAAAAAATAAACAAAATGTGCCCGTGGATGTGTGGGTCTCTGTGTGTTGTTAGTGGGCAGAGCATCTGATTGCCAAGGTCAGCGTGCAAGTTAAACATAATCACTATGGCTTGTGTTACCCGCTGAGGGTAAAAATAAAGCTGCAGCTGTTTTAATTTTTTAAGTAATGGCTCGAGATCCCACATACCATGTTGATGTTAATAAAGGTAACCAGTTATTGACACACATGTGTCAGGCACCAAGCTAAGATGCCTAATGAGTTGTGTTTTAACAAGTCACTTACTTACAGAACAACTCTAGGAAATAGTTGCTTTTAAAATCCCCATTTTGCAGATAGGAAAACTGAGGCTGGGGAGACGAAATCTCTTACTCAAGGTCACACACTCAAGAAGTAACAAAGTACAGATTTCTCTCCAAAGCCACAAGGCTATGTTGTTAACATTTAGATGCTTCCTCCCAGGCTTTTTTCCTCGGTTACATTTGAAGAGTTGAGATCCCCAAAGACCCAGTTCAGTAAACTGCCTCTCTGATATAGAAGTGTTTCAACACGTCTCTGTGGTAGATGTGTCTCATTTCCCCCATTTCACAAAAGGAAAACTGAGATCCAGGGAGGGCAAGTGACTTGCCCAGGGGCCTTCAACATCTTGTGGGCTGGGAAGCCACCTCAGCAGATGCTCCATCCAGGATTCCACACCGGGTGGCAGAGGAACTGGGGACAAACTCGCCTTCTAATCAGATAGATCTGAAATGTACCCGGCAGACAGGAGTGGCCTGGAAGTGTGTGGAAACTTGCCCGTCCCATCAAGACAGCGTCTCTCTTCCTGCCCATTTGTATTGGGAATGTTTTGACTCCTCTTGGAACCCTGGGGGAACCAAAAGCCAAGTCAAGGGTCCAAGACTCAAAAAGTAGGACCCTAGGCCCTCAGAGCCCTGCCTGCCCAGCCCATGCCTGAGATGGTTCAGGGAGATGGTGGAGGGCCAGGGTGACATCCAGTGTGGCCTCACCTCCCTCTTAACCACACTTGTCCCATTCTGCTCTCCAGAGAGCTGAGGCTGCCCAGCGGGAGGTGGAAAGTCTTCGGGAACAACTCGCTTCTGTGAACAGCTCCATCCGCCTGGCTTGCTGCTCCCCTCAGGGCCCCGGTGGGGTAAGGATGGTGGGAGAGCCAGAGGGGAGGGTTGGGAAAGGCCATGGGCATGAGTTTGTGGGTTGCTCGTGTGTATCTATGTGAAATTGTGCACATGGACGTATGGGTCTCTGTGTGTTTATAGTAGGTGTAGCATCTTAATCGCCACTGTGTAGTTAAACGTAATTAACTACAACTTGCTTCAGCAGTTAAGGATAACAATACAACTCCAGGTGTTTTAACTCTTCAAGTTCAAGCTTCCCTATATCTTGATTAACTGGAAGTCCAGTATCTTTCTTTGAAAGTCCCCTTACCCCCAGTTGTCAAAAAATGCCAGGAACCTACTCAGACCAAAGAGGATCATTCCTATTGCCCGATGCCTGCCCAGCAAGAGGGCAGGCAGGAGGAGTTGGTGGGACAGTAGGTGATCAGTAGAGCAGCAGTGCAGTTTTAGTGGCTGCCACCAGGTGTCGCTGTTGCTGCTGGTGAATGCAGGGGACTCTATGGTGATATCCAGCTGGTTCTCAGTATCCTTCCAGGCTGACAAAAGTACATGCCAGGATCTGAGATTAATGCTCATACGCAGCCATTGGTTCCCAGAACATGCCAGGTTAATTCCAATGTGGTTTCCCAAACAGCCACCTGCTACAAAGAGCCAGTCAGTCTTCTATCACTAACCCTGAGGTCCCTGTGTTAAGCCTGGTTAGTCAGTGCATCTTTCTCTTTCCTTCTGGTTGGTGTCCCTTTGGGGTCCTGTTGTAGACCAACAAGACAGACCAGACTCAGACTCTGAACTGGGTTCAAATTAAGAGAACTTTATTAGCCGCACGGCGACTGTCCCATCCTATGCAGAGGCAAGAGCAGCCCCGAGCTCAGGGGGAGGGTTGCTTATATAGTTGTCTTAGCCCCTGTTAAGGAATTTGGGCTAAAGGTTTGCGAGCAAGCAAGCAGGCACGTACAGAAGGGGATATCTGCAGTTAGCTGTTATGCCCGAGAGCAATCAGTTTCGGTGTGCACAATGCAATGGTTATCTATACAATATAATGGTTATTTATTAACTCTGGCTGCTAGTTCTTGCTATTCTCTTAAAGTCCAGGGCTAAGGTCTGTCTAATGGGAAAATTTTTTACTGTACGTTCACATAGCATGTGTTTGTCCTTTACAGTCCCAGGGTCATTTCCTGCCAAGACTTTTGGTCTGAACCACCCCAGCCTACCCTTGTGTCATGTATCAGGAGACTCCATCTCTCTTCTCTGAGAAAGCTTTGGGTTCCTGATGTAAATTGCCCCACCTACTTTCAGATCTCTGCATCTAAGGCCTTAGATTCACGATTCCTTATATGATACCAGGCCTGCTCCAGGGCGATTCTTTGTCTCCACCCCTGAACCTGAAGTGATAGGCACAATTTTAACCTCACCTGACTCTGATGCACAGGCCTGTGTGTCTGTGTCTGTCTTTCTGTTTGAATATTGGAATGTGTGTCTAATCGTGACCTTTGGAAAATGACTACATGTTTACTCTAACTGTGCCTCAATTTCTTTGTCTGTACGAGTAAGATCTACATGATAGGATTATTGATTGAGAGGATTACATGTAAAGTACCTAGAATGGTACTTGGTGCAGTCTATGCTCAGTAAATATTTGATGCTACTTCTATTATTATGATTATTAGTGTGGTTTTGCACATGCATGTCTGTGTGTCTGATGATGTCCATATGAGTGTGTCTCCTTGATGCCTATGTGTATCTGTGTGTGTGCGTGTAAGCACTAGTATTCAGCAGGCAGGCATGTGTGTCAGTGTGTGCTGTGGCTGCAGGGGTGTCCACCTGTGTCTCTGTCCCAGGAGGCAGTGTGTGTGTCCATGTGCCTGAGTGCCTGCAGACACAGAGTGAACACTAGAGAGACAGAGAGCAAGAGCTCATGAGGATGCCTAAGAGAGAGTTTGCTGATGGTTCTTAATTAACCCCCATGGAACCCAGCAAATGCCTGTGCTAATGAGCCACAGGGAACTTCCCTGGTTTGAGAGGGGCTGAGTTTTTCTGAGAGCAACAGTGGTGCTCGATGCTAATTAACTTGATGTGTTAATGGCATCCGCTTCCTGTTTTAATTGTCATTTATCTCCATGGAAGAATACCCAGGGTTGGCAGTGGTGGGTTTTTGTTTGGTTTTGTTTGGTTTTGTTTTGTTTTAGTAATGCTTCTTAAATTCATTTGTAACTGAGCTCAAAATTGGCCTGACTTCGGGTTCTCTCAAACAGCAACCTCTTCATCTCCATCCGGGACAAAGGAACCATTTCCTAAAACCCAGAGAAGCATGGGGCTTGGGGCTGGTGGCAAATTAGGAGAAGGAAAGGACCACCCCTAATGTGGCCTGTCGCTGCAGTTCTCAGGTCTAACCTATGTGTCTTACTGCTTGGAATGGAAACATCCTGCACCGTTTTAGAGCCCAGACCTTTGTCTCTGCCGTTCCCTCTTCTAGGAGCATCTCATTCGTAGCACTTTCTCACCCAGCCAACAACTTCCTTTTTTTGTTATTCTTTTCTTAACAAATGTTTTATTGAAGTATAATATGGATAAGGAAAAATGTGTATATCATAAATGTGTAGCACATTGAGTTTTTCAGAATGAACTCACCCCATAACCAGCATCTAGATCAAGTAGAACATTCCCAGCCCCCAAGAAGCCCCCTGCTGCTCCCACACAGGCTACTCCCCTGACCTCTGTAAGCACAGATGGATTTTGCCTGTTTGTATCTGATCTTAACTGAATCACACACACACACACACACACACACACACACACACCCCTTGGTGTCTGGCTTCTTTCGTTCCATGTTGTATCTGGGAGAGTCATCCATGTTGTGTTGGAGTAGTTGTAGATTATCCATTTTCATTGCCGTATAGCATTCCATTGTGGGAAATACACCACAGGCTATCCACATTCTCTTGCTGGTAGACATTAGAAGGTTTCCAGTTTGGGGCTATCACAGAGAGGGCTCCTGGGGTCCCGGTGTCTCAGTGCCCAGGAGCCTGCATTTCTCCTGCATGTATACCAACAAATGGAAGCATGCCTGTTTCCCCTTCAGCGGGTGCTGCCAAACCATCTTTCAAATCACTAACATGTTCTTGAACTTCATCACAGTTTAGATACATCTCCCTCCAGAAAACCTTCCCTGCCCACTTCCCCTCCTGCCTGTTTACTTTCAAGTACAGAGGGAAGGGCATCCAGGCTGGTGGGTCCAGCCTGAACAAAGGCTCGGAGGCGGGAAGAGGAAAGCCACAGGCCTATCAGAGGGGCCGAGTCACTCTGGGGAGCTCAGCACCAGGACCAGACAGATGGATCTCTCATTTTGTTTGTTTTTTTAATCTTTTTTTCTTTCTTGATTTGAGAGAGAGAGAGAGGAAAGGAGAAGAGAGATAGAAACATCGATGAAAGAGAACATCAATTGGCCGCCTCCAGCATGCCCCCCACTGGGGATTGGGCCTACAACCTGGGCACGTGCCCTGACCAGGAATCGAACCAGCGACCTCTCAGTACATGGGTTGATGCTCGACCACTGAGCCACACTGGCGGGCTGAATCTCTCATTTTGTTTGGGACTACGGGGTGGGGAGGCCAGCCCTGCCACCCCTCAAAGCCTGCTTTGTTCTCAGGATAAGGTGAACTTCGCGCTTTGCTCCGGCCCTCGGCTTGAGGCCGCCCTGGCCTCCAAGGATCGGGAGATCCTGCGGCTGCTGAAGGATGTGCAGCACCTCCAGAACTCTCTGCAGGAGCTGGAGGAGGCCTCCGCCAACCAGATCGCCGACCTGGAGCGGCAGCTCACAGCCAAGTCTGAGGCCATCGAGGTGGGCAGCCAGGAGCTGGGTGGGACATCTCTGGGCAGAAGGAAGCCCAGCCTCATGGTCTTTGTTTGCTCCTCCAGAAGCTGGAAGAGAAGCTCCAGGCACAGTCTGACTATGAAGAAATTAAAACAGAGCTGAGGTACTATGCAGAGTGGGGCTCCACAGACACCCCCAGCCTTCTTCCCTGGCTGGGGCCACGGGCCCTTGGCAAAGTTCATCACCTTCCTCCCTCCCGCCACACTCCACTTTGTGGCACCCTTTGTCTTCTCTCCACTGGTACCTGGGATGTCATGCTTGGTCCTTTGCCATCGAGAGCTGCCTATCAGAGAACAAGCAAGGCAGCCTTGTCGTCAGTGGTGTGACGGGAGAGTAGGGTGACGCATTGATCAGATAAGCTCAAGTGGACACGGGTGGGAGCCAGTTAGCGCAGTGCCCTCCTGGTGACACTGGAGCCCGTTCCCCAGCCCACTCCTTAAAGCCATTGTCACAGCGAGCCCCGCGTTATGCAGGGTCCGGGGCAGCGAGGGCGGTTGTGCTCAGTCAGGAAGGTGGGCCGGCGGACAGGCCTCTCCCGAGCCTCCCTAAGCGGGGACACGTGGCGGGCCTCACTCCCTCCTCTCTCCGGCAGCATCCTCAAAGCCATGAAGCTGGCCTCCAGCACGTGCAGCCTCCCTCAGGTGAGTGTCCCCGCCTTCCCCGCGGGGCCGGCTGCCCTGAGAGCCTGCCACCAACCATGCCCTCTCAGCCCCGCCTCTTGTCTCCGCAGAGCCTGGCCAAGCCCGAGGACTCGCTGCTCATGGTGAAGGAGGCCTTCTTCCCTGCGCAGAAGTTCCTGCTGGAAAAGCCCTGCCTCTTGGCCAGCCCTGGTAGGGGAGGGACGTTCTCGGGCTGAAGGGCCAGGCGGGGCTGCATGGGTCTCTGGCTCCTCCCACACCCATGGACCACTGCCTTCCACTTAGGCAGGAGAGTGATGGGGAAGGGGGTGCACGCTGATGGAGCACCTGCTGAGCACCCGGCGTTGAGCTGGGCACCGTCCATGCTAAGCCAGCTGACAGCGTCCCACAGGGTGTCCACACACATTCACACACACACTCAAGGACATACAGCTCACTCAGGCCTCCTAAGGCCACCAAAGCCTCCGCTCAGCCCCGAGCCTTCGTCAGCATTAGGATGAGGTCACGGGACAAGGGGGCCTTCGCATCGCACCCCACAGCAGACCGCTGGAAGTGGCTGGCGGACATCGCGCTCTCCCAAATCACCTTCTCCGCCCCTTGCCCCTTCTCCCTACACAGTGACTCCACGACCTTCTAGCTGTGTGGCCCCAGGCACAACTCTGCTGCCTCCATTTCCTCACCTGAAAAATGGAGGCTGTGATGGGTCTACTTTCTAGATAAGGCGGGTGCAGGTGGGGCGGGCGCCCGGGAAATGGGTGCTCCCACTGGGGTGGCATTGATCCAGACTTCCCACCCCCAGCTGAGGTGCTGGGCCTATAACAAGTGCTCAATTAATGTTCTTCACGGCAGGAGGGAGGGCTGCCCAGAACAGGCATTTGGACAGGCCGCGAAGGATGGGGAGCAGAGAAGGGGGGAGGGGTGCTGGCAGAAACGGCCAAAGTCCGTGCTGGACGCCTATAGCACTTCTCTCCCATCCCCTCTTCTCCCCACTTCCTCTCCCTGTCTCTGGCTTTCTGTCCCCCTCTTTCTATCTCTCCCTCCCCTCTGTTTCTGCCTTTTACTCTGTCTCTGCCTGACTCACTATCTCTACCTCTCTCTCATATATGTATGATTTCTCTCTCATGTAATTTATCTCTGCCTCTTTCCCTATCTCTGTCTCTATTGTGTCTCTTACTCTGTGTCTGTCTCTCATTATGTCTCTCTCTCTCTCTCTCTCTCTCTCTCTCTCCGGCATCATCATCTGCTTCTCTGTTCTACCCTCTCTCTGTCTCTCTTCTCTCCCTCGGTCTGTCTGTCTCTCTAGAGGAGGACCCTTCGGAGGACGATTCCATCAAGGACTCTCTGGGCACGGAGCAGCCTTACCCATCTCCTTCACAGCTCCCACCACCGCCAGGGCCAGAAGACCCCCTGTCCCCAGGCCCTGGGCAGCCCCTGCGGGGCCCTAGCCTGGGCCCTGATGGCCCTCGGACTTTCTCGCTGTCCCCCTTCCCCAGCCTGGCTTCCGGGGAGAGACTGGCAGGGGACGCGCTGCTGTCTAAGCACATGATGCCTCCGTCTGCCTTCAAGGGCGAGGCCGGCAGCCTGCTGGTGTTTCCCCCAGCCTTCTACGGCACCAAGCCCCCCACCGCCCCTGCCACCCCGGCCCCCGGCCCTGAGCCGCCTGGGGGCCTCGAGACAGCTGATGGTGGTGGGGGCAGCACGGCCGGGGCAGGGGCCGGAGCCGAGGAGGAGCAGCTGGACACGGCGGAGATCGCGTTCCAGGTGAAGGAGCAGCTGCTCAAACACAACATCGGGCAGCGAGTGTTTGGCCACTACGTACTGGGGCTGTCGCAGGGCTCGGTCAGCGAGATCCTGGCCCGGCCCAAGCCCTGGCGCAAGCTCACAGTGAAAGGGAAGGAGCCTTTTATCAAGATGAAGCAGTTCCTGTCGGACGAGCAGAACGTCCTGGCTCTGAGGACCATCCAGGTGCGGCAGCGAGGTGAGTGCTGGCCTTCCCACGGCCAAGCTTGGGCGAGGGTTTGGCCAGCATCTGAGAGCTCGGACTCTGCCTTCAGAGCCAGGCTCAGCTACCTCCAACTGGGTGACCTGCGGCAAGGGCCTGGCCTGTCTGTGCCTCACCTGTCCCCTCTGTAAAATAAGGAGATGCGTCCTCTCGCCCTCTTCCTGGGCCTGTGGCTCTCCCTTCTCCCCACCTGGACCTCCTGCGGGCAGTTCGATGATGGTGGGAAAAGGCTGGGTCTCAGGGGCTTCCCTGGCAAGTACCTCCTGAGCATCTCGAAGCCTCAGTTTACCCAACCATTAAGTGGCCTGAGCGACCACCCACCTTGGCAGACTTGATTTTTAGGTTAATTCATATGAAGGGCCCAAGCTCTGAGCTATAAACACCTGAGTTTGAGTCTCAGCTCTGCCCTTCGCTCATGGGTGACCTCAGGCAGCTCACTTTAGCCTCAGCTTCCCTGTCCATCAGCCTCCAAGGGGCGTTAAATGAGTATAAAACACAGTAACTGCTTGAGAACTGTTAGCTGTGGTGGTGGCTGGTCACTGTTGTTTTTGTTGTTATTTTGAGCCAGAGCCATTTGCCAGTCCACAGCGTGTCAAACAGCCCAGCTTGGCAATGGTCCTGCCACACGCACACTCCTGGCCCTGGGAGGAGGGGCCCAGCCATTCACCCGGCCCAGCTCCAGGGACTGACCCCCAGCATGCAGGTCCCCATAACAGATGCTTCCTTGCCTCTCTCAGGCAGTATTACCCCAAGAATCCGCACACCAGAGACGGGCTCAGACGACGCCATCAAGAGCATCCTAGAGCAGGCCAAGAAGGAGATTGAGTCACAGAAGGGCGGTGAGTGTGGCAGGCGCAGGCCGAGGCCTGGGGCCTCTGGGGCCTGCTCTGGGCCTCGGCTGCTCTCCCCCTGTGGTCCACCCAGAGGGGATTCCAGTGGTCAGAGCCTCTTCTCCTCTTTCACTGTCTGCAGCCGGGCAAGGTCTAGGCCTGGAACGCGGCAGATCCGTGCTCTCCATTGTGGAGATCCGTGCTCTCCACTAGCCACACGTGATCTGTGTCCATTCAAATTAATTAAAATTAAATGAAGTTACAACCTTTTCGACCACACTAGCCACATTGCACAGGCGACCAGTGGCGGCCCTATGGGACAGCACAGCTCGGAATGTCCCCGTCATCACACAGTTCTGACAGCACTGGTCTGGATTTGTTTGATGTCCTCGACTCTCAGGAGGCACAGTGATCAGTAATCACACAGGAGCTCGTTGAAGGCCTGAGCCTCACCCCGACTGTCAGTCTCCCCCTCTTCGCACCTGTACCTTCTGTTTCCCAAGGAGACATTTGTCTGGCTTCCCCCCGCCTCTCAGACCACGTAGTCCACACCTTCCCAGGGGGCGCTGGATGGCTCTCCTAGTGCTGCTGTTAGCCACAGGCTCAGTGGCCAAAAACAATACGAATTTATTGTCTTATGATTCTGGAGGTCAGAAGGCCAAAGTCAGCCTCCCTAGGCTAGTCAAGGGCTGCGTTCCTTCTGGGGCTCTGGGGAGAGTCCGTTTCTCGCCTTCTCACACTGCTCCAGGTCGCCCACACTCCTTGCCACATGGTCCCTTCTCCATTGTCAAGTCCTGCATCCCGGCCTCTTCAGTCTCTGGTCATCTTGACTCTCGTAAGCACCTTCAGATTATGTAGGGCCCACCCAGATAATTCAGGATAACTTCCCCATTTCCTGACCCTTAACTTGAACCACATCTGCAAAGTCCCTTTGCCCTGTAAGGTAACATTTTCACCAGTCCCAGGGACGGGGATGAGGATATCTTTGGGGGGCCACCTCTTAAGAGTTTCAGAGCCACAAGCCAATTGCTGGTCATGTCCATCAGGGTCCCACTGGCATCTCAGACTCAACATGTCTGCAGTGGAACTCACTGTCTTCCCGTGCTCCTCACTCCCTCTTCAGTCACTCACTCAGGGCTGGGAACCTGTCACAGACGGTGCTAGAAACCCAGGGTGAGGTGAGGGACTGTCATTGACTTCTTCCCCGCGGCAGCCAGTCAGCTACCCATCCAGGGGACACTCACCCTCTAAGTGTTTTTTTCAAACTTGTCCATCCCCCACCCCAGTTGCCACCAGCTAGTGAGCCACCATCATCACTTGCTGGGACTGTTGCCATATTCTCTTCACTGGTCTTGCCCACGACATTCTAGGCCCCACTCCACCCAGACACCAGAGGGATCTTTCTAAAGCACACACACATGGTCACGTTACTATTCAGAATCCTTCCATGGCTCCCCGTTGCCCTCAGGACAAAATCCCACCTCCTCAAGGTTGATAGTCGTCAGACTCCTCCCGATCCCTCCACGCCTCTCACATGAACGCTTTATAACCGTGCTCTTCCTCATCCCCCAATGCCGTTCTCATCCCAGACACCTTTCACCTGCCAACTGCTCATACTTGATGACTCAACTTAGAAGTCAACTCCTCCAGCCCCGCCGGTGTGGCTCAGTGGTTGAGTGTCAACCCATACACCAGGAGGTCAGCTGTTTGATTCCCAGTCAGGGCACATGCCCAGCTTGTGGGCCAAATCCCCGGTGGGGGCATGCAGGAAGCGGCCAGTGGATGCTCTCTCTCATCGGTGTTTCTATCTCTCTCTCCCTTACTCTCTCTTAAATCAATAAAGAAAAAAAAATTAGAAGTAAACTCCAGGAAGCCCCCACCCCTATACAGATGGATTGGATGCTGCCCTCCTTGGATCCCCCCTCCCAAATTATATATGTGCAAATTACATATACATATGCTTGGTGCAATGGAGCCAGATGTGCACGGTGCAAATGCTGGCCCTGCTGTTTATTGGCTGTCTGACCCTGGACGAGTTTACTTAGCCTCTCTGTGTCTCCATTTTCTCATCTTTAAAATGAGGACAGTGTTAATACTCCTTAAGATTGTATGAGGATCAAATGAGATCAGGCCTGGGAAGCACTGGGAAGCATTTAGCCTGGGACCTGGCATGTAGAAGGTGCTCCGGAAAGGTTAGCCATTGTTACAGTTAACATTATCATTGTTGTATTTGTTTATGTTACAAATGACTGTGCTGATGTGGTTGTCCCTCCCACTGATCTGGGGGCTTCTTGCATCCAGGGATGGAGTTGCATCTCTGCACCCAGCACAGTGGTTATCAGACAGTTGCCAATTTAGGTTTCAGCGCTCCCGTTCTCTTTTGCAGTGTCTGTTGCCCCCTGGTGGTGACTCAGAGCAAGTGTCCCGATGCCCAAGCTTCTTGCTGCTGGGAGCCACGAGTTTCCCAAGGGCCCTCCCCTCAGCCTGGTCCCTGGGAGGGGTGGAAGGAGGTTTACCCTGCTAGGAACCTACAATGCCCCACCCTTATAATTGACCAAGCCCCTACTGTGTATACCCTGATTTCTTCTTGGTCAACTCTGAGGCAAGAGAGGCAGTGGTTCAGTGAACAGTTACTGTGTGTTCGACACAGGTTACAGAAGTGGATGAAACACACTATTGGGGTGAAAAGAACCATGAGAAACTATCTAATCTAACTCTCCCACTAAACAGACAGGACAACTAAGGCCCGAGAGGGGGAGACATGCTCACAGTTACAGAGACCAAAGGAAAACCCAGGTCTCCTAACTCCCTATGCAGTGCTCTCAACTTGAGGAAGTAGGCCAAGGCTATTGCCCCACGTCCCTAACAAGAGTGGATGTTCAGCAGAGAGTAACTAGCAGCCCCCCAGCGAGGAAATGAATGTGGCTGACTGCCAACTCAGGAGTTTTACTTCTGGGCACAAAAACTTATGTGCGAGCTTTTCCTTTATCATTGTCACAATGGTGACAAGCTAGAGAGGACCAAAGTGTCCATCAGTGGTGGGTGGGTAAGTGGAGCCGAGGCGATCCCTTCGATGGAGTATGCAGTCATCGGGGAAATACTTACATTGACACGAAGTGGGGCAGACCAGGCTACGCTCCGTATCGAGTAGGACCATCCCAGGCATGGAGTCAGAAAACACACCAAGGAGATACACGGGAGTGTTTATGTGGTTGCCTCCGGGAGAGAGATTAGAGGTCGTCTTTGGTTTCATCCTAACTTTTGTGCCTTCTTAGCTCTCTACAATAAGCATATACTGCCTTTTTTTTTTAATTGAGGTGAGATTCACATAACAAAATTAACCATTTTAAAGTAAACAGTTCTGTGGCATTTACTGTGTTCACAATGTTGTGCAACCACCACCTTTATCTAGTTCCAGAACATTTTCATCACCCCAGAAGGAAGCATCGTACCTTCATTTCCTTCTTCTGAGCCCCAGGCCACTGCCCATCCACTTTCTGTCTCTGTGGCACCACCTGTTCTGGATATCACATATGAATGGAAATAACACAATATGTGGCCTTTTGTGTCTGGCTCCTTTCACTTAGCATCATGTTTTCAAGATTCTTCCATGTTATAGCAGGTGTTTCTACTTCATTCCTTTTTATAGCTGAATAATATTCCGTTGCTGTATTACTTCTTAATCAGAAAAGCAACAGAAATTATTTTTAATGGGGCCGGGTTGGTCTGGCTTGGTCAGGGCAGGTAGACCCCAGCATGGGAAAGGCAGCTCAGAGGGAAGCACTATTCTATTGTTCCTTTTTGTTTACTACTTGTTAAAAAGATTTTTCACTAAATAATATATTGTTTATTTTGCTTGTTTTGGAGTTCTGTAGAAAGCAAGTTATATTGTGTATCATCTTCTGGGGACTTGCTGTTTTCATTCAGATTATGTTAAGGTTCATGTGTAGTTTGGCACAGTGACTTTCTTTTTCACTGCCATATAGTATTCCATTGTGTGGCTGCCGTTTACTGTCCATTCTCTTCTCCATGGGCATTTGGGTTCATTCTGTTATTTTGCTGTTAGAATAAATGAAGCAGCCTCTTTTATGTGTTATAGTATTTTTCTTGTCTTTGAAGATGTGCATAGATGGATTATAGCATATGTGAAAGACACGTCTTGTTTTACTTTACGTTATCCCCATGAGTACTTTCTGCACAGATGCTAAAATCCCATTGTCCACCTGATTTTTTTTTTTTTTAATCCTCACCTGAGGACATTTTTCCATTTTATTTTGTTCAGATAGAGTGGGAGGGAGAGAGAGAGAGAAACATTGATGTGAAAGGGACACATCGAGTGGCTGTCACCCACATGACCCAACCAGGGCCGGGGACAAACTGCAACCAAGGTACATGCCCTTAGCGGGAACCGAACCCGGGTCTTTCCGGACCGCAGGCCAACCGGCCAGGGCTGTCCCCTGATTTTTAATGGCTGCCTAACAGTCTGCCATACAGTTGGACCATAATTTGCTTGACTAATCTCCAATTCGTAGACACAGAAATTGCCTCCAACATTTTGCTGGTATAAATACGGATGCTGTGACCCTTTGAGCCATGTCCAGACAATGGGCCTCTGGCCACCCTGTCATCCACCCCACAGGTGAGCCCAAGACCTCAACAGCCCCATTGAGCGTCACCAATGGTACAGCCTCTGCCAGTACCTCAGAAGATGCCATCAAGAACATTCTGGAACAGGCACGCCGGGAAATGCAAGCACAGCAGCAGGCCCTACTGGACATGGAGGCAGCCCCCCGGGGCCGCTCCGTGCCTCCTTCGCCCCCAGAGCGGCCCTCGCTGGTGGCCATGAGCCAGAACGGGGCCCCAACCTATGTCAAGCAGGAGGACAGCAGTGTTGGCGTTGGCGGTGGCGGTGGCAGCGGGGGGACCAGCAGTAGTGCCACACAGACATCCCTCACTGTGCTATCTCCCGCCGCCTTTGTGCAGAGCATCATCCGGAAGGTCAAGTCAGAGATCGGCGACGCTGGCTACTTTGATCAGCACTGGGCCTCAGACCGAGGCCTGCTCAGCTGCCCCTACACCTCCGTCTCGCCCTCACTCTCCTCCTCCTCCTCCAGCTACTCTGGCCAGCCCAACGGACGGGCCTGGCCCCGTGGGGATGAGGCCCCCACAGCCCCTGAGGACGAAGCAGCCGGGGGTGAGGACGAGCCCCCCAGGTTGGGCGAGCTCAAGGCTGAGGGTGGTGTCCCCGAGTCAGGCAGCAGTGGGCGGCTGGCCTATTATCCAGCATACGTGCCCCGCACACTGAAGCCCACTGTGCCACCCCTGACCCCAGAGCAGTACGAGCTCTACATGTACCGTGAGGTGGACACGCTGGAGCTGACGCGGCAGGTCAAGGAGAAGCTAGCCAAGAACGGAATCTGCCAGAGGATCTTTGGGGAGAAGGTGAAGACGGGGCAGGTTCAGGGCCATGGGACCCAGGGGAAGAGGACCACCTGAGGACCCGGCCCCCAGTGCCCATGATCTGGAAAGAAGTGTGTATGAGCAAGAACAGGGCAAAATCAGGATTCAAACCCAGGTCCCTGTGACCCCAGAAGCTCATTTTTCTATATCTCACTGTCCCTGGGCCCTGTGGGAAGGGGTGGCCATGGGCAAGGCTGGCGTTCAGTTCTGTGATGTTAAAACAGTGAAACACTCCCATCTGGTTAGGAAGAGCCACTGAGTCCCCCTCCTCCAGGACACTCCATCCCTTCATTTGTCCAGCCACTAAAGGGGTTAAGGTTCAGCCCAGCAGCGGTCTCCTGATTGGTTGGTGCCCTTGCAGTACCAGTGGTTAAGGTTAAGTAGTTTTGTAATATCACCTCTGCCCATAGCAGAAGAGCAGGCAGTCAGGGAAGCCCAGAGGAGGGAGCAGTGACCTAAGCGGGAGACACAGGGAGACTTCCTGGAGGAAGGAGGCATTTAAGGGGTTTACATGTAGGGAAATGGAAAGGGCACTGCAGGTGGGGGCACAGCACAGGCACTCATCCGGCACCTGGGAAATGAAGAACAAATGATGGCGGCCCTGGCCTCTCAGGGAACAGAGTGAACAGTGGTCCCTAAGGGTCTTGAGGGGAGAGGGGAGGTGATGGCCTGTGTCCCAGGACCTGCTAACCCACCCTTCCTGCCCTGCCCATCCCCAGGTGCTGGGCTTGTCACAGGGCAGCGTGAGTGACATGCTGTCACGGCCGAAGCCGTGGAGCAAGCTGACGCAGAAGGGGCGGGAGCCCTTCATCCGCATGCAGCTGTGGCTCTCAGACCAGCTCGGCCAGGCCATCGGCCAGCAGCCCAGCGCCTCCCAGGGTGAGTGCCCGTGGGGCTGTTGCGAGGGGTGCTGCCAGCCCTCACTCTCCCATTCAGTGATGGCATGTGCGTCTGCTTTACTGCCTGCACCTGCCCCTCTCTGCTGCCCCGCTGCCCGGGCCACCGTTACTGTGCCCCTGGAAGGCTGCAGGGTGCTCCTAGCTGGTGTCCCAGTTGCCCTTGCGTCCTTCCTTCAATCAGAGGGATGCAGCTGGTGCTGGTTTTAACCCTCTAGGTGCCAGAGCAAGTGGAGAAAATAGTTTGCATTTGGAGCCCCGCCCTTTGATCCCCTGTCAGAATCACTGATTGATGTCTTTTTCCCAAGATTCTTAGGGCCTTGAGAGCTGTTATCCATCCATTAATGATACACAGGCAGGGTAGTGTTTAGACGGCCTCAGTGAGGAGGCTGAGGCTCAGAGAGTTCCTTCTAAGAGGACAATGTTGGGTGTAAGCAAACCTGAGCTCTAGTCCTGATGTTGCCACTAGTCACTGTGTGACCTGGGGCACATATTTTGAATCTCTCTGAGCCTCGGTTTCCTCACCTACCTCATAGATGTGTTTTTGGTGACTTGAGATCATGGGTGTAAAACACATAGCACTACCTTGGGCATGTAGTAAATGCTCAATGAAAGGAAACTTTGTTAGTTATTTCCTCTTTGTCACTGTCGTCTGGTCCTGGAAGATCTGGCACAAGCAAGAAACTATAGTGAAGCCAGTTATTTTATAGCCTGTCTCAGTTTGGCTGTGTCTGGTGCTTCCTCGTGATCAGATTCAGGCACTTTTAGCAGGAACATCACAGAGGGGATGCTGTGCCCTCACGTGCCTCATAGCAGTGCCACATAGCAGTTGCTGATTTGACTCACGACTGGTGATGTTATCTTTGATCACTTGGTTGAGGTGGTATCTGCCAAGTATAAAGTTATTATTTTTCCCTTTGTAACTAACTAGTATTTTGTGGGGAGGTACTTTACGACTCTGTAAACTTTCATCAGCTGGTTTTCCATCCAGGATTATACCTGTCCGAGGTATTACTATGGTGGTTGCAAAATGGATTGTTGGCGACTCTTGGCTCTAACCAACAAGACTGCCCCAACTGTGCGTGTCTAGGCCAGATCGCTGCAACTGCTTCTCTGTCTCTCTGGCCCACAGCCAGTCCCACTGAACCGAGGTCCTCACCATCCCCACCGCCTAGCCCCACGGAACCCGAGAGGAGCTCCCAGGAGCCCTTGAGCCTGGCACTGGAGAGCAGCAAGGAGAACCAGCAGCCAGAGGGACGCTCCAGCTCCTCGCTAAGTGGGAAGATGTACTTGGGCAGCCAGGCCACAGGGGGTATCCAGGAGATTGTGGCCATGTCCCCCGAGCTGGACACGTACTCCATCACCAAGAGGGTCAAAGAGGTTCTCACAGACAATAACCTAGGTATGGGGTGGTGGGGCTGGGGTATGTGCCTCCCGCCCTGGATGGCTCCTACTCTCCTTGAGAAGAGTGCCCACAGTGAGATCCCAGAGCACTGGGGTCAGGCCTGCAGGTGCCAGTCATCCCTGGAGCACCTGAGACCCCCTAGGAAGCATCTAACTCTGACCTGAGTCCCTAGAGAATTAAGATAAGTTAAAAAGTAAATAAAATCCCCTACAGCCTCCCAAGCACAATCCAGTTTTTATGTATCGTTGGCACTTTGTGAACACATACAAGAATGTATGTACACTAGTTTCTTTTTTCCTCTTTTCTATATATATATGAACTTACACTCATATACGTGTGTCCTGCAACTTACTTTTCACACTAGAGTCCTGGCCACTTTGGCTCAGCGGTTAGAGCATTGACCCTCAGACTAAATGGTCAAGGACTTGATTTCCGGTCAAGGGCATGTACCTGGGTTGCAGGTTCGATCCCCAGCCCTGGTTGGGGTCGTGTGGAAAGCAACCAATCGATGTGTCTCTCTCACATTGATGCCTCTCTCTCTCTCTCCCTCTTCTTTCTCCCCCTCCCTCCCTTCCATTCGATCTAAAATTCAATGGAGAAATATCCTCGGGTGAGGTTTCACAAAAAATAAATAAATAAAATTCCTACTAGACACCCTTCCACATTAGAATAATTAGGCCGCCTGCATTCTCTTTCACTATTGTAAAGTTTTTTAGGCCACGGACGCCCTACATTTTTTACCCAACTGACATGCACTTTGGTTGTTTCCAATTTCCTACTGCCTCTGAAACTACGTCCAGCCGCATCTTTCTGCAGTTGGGCAAGAACAGCTGGAGGGTAAACCCAGTGGTATTGCTGGATCAGAGGCTATGCACACTGACATTTTTATAGACTCTGTCAACTGACTCTAACAAGGTGATACTAACTGTACACATGAAGTGTGCAGACAATGTCAGGGATCCCCTAGGAGTGAAGAACATCTAGAGAAGAACATATTGTTGGTAGCTATCTGGTTGCACCCCCACCCCCCATGCACATTTGTTTTGCAGAAAGGTCTCTAGATCCACACTGGCTATGGGCTCCCCAATCTGAGTCAGTGCAGTCATCCTGGTTCTTCCCTCCGCTTTGTCTGTCACTTGTCCCTCCTGAGAGCACCTCTGCCAGCCTGGAGTGACAGGTGGCCCTCCTCCCCTGTCCCCAGGGCAGCGGCTGTTTGGGGAGAGCATCCTGGGCCTGACGCAGGGCTCTGTGTCTGACCTGCTGTCCCGGCCCAAACCCTGGCACAAGCTCAGCCTGAAGGGGCGGGAGCCCTTTGTGCGCATGCAGCTGTGGCTCAATGACCCCCATAACGTGGAGAAGCTGAGGGACATGAAGAAGCTGGAGAAGAAAGGTGAGCACTGGGCCCCCTGGGTGTAGCCTCAGGTTTTCCCACTGGAACCATATCTAGGCCTAACCCAAGTAAACCCAGGGTCCAGTGGTCCGGTCAGCCTGGTGCGGGACTGCAAGAAATAGTAATCCCACAGAACATCATTGAAAGCAATGGAAGTATTTACTGCTTCTCCCATGAACATTCCAGCGCCCCGTCTCAGCACCCTTCCTCACACCACAGCTACTGTTACATCTTTTGCCAACCCCACTGCGCATTCCCCAGAACGCTCCCTCTCCGGTCCTCTGCCCTCTGCACCAGCTCCCTCATGTATCATACACAGACAGATCCCCCTTTGCCAAGTACCCAGATTCCACACGGCAGAGCAAGAGCTGACCCAGCCAGCCACAAGACTGGGGGTAGCGAGGCAAGGGGATTGCAGATTCTTACCTTATCCAGGGTTATCTTTTCTCTCTAAAAAAATGAGCTGGCGCTGAGCATCTATGTGCCCACCCAGTCCCATGCTGTGCATAAGGGGTTCTTGGACCTTAAAAAGTTCGGGGTCCAGTTGGGAGATAGGGTACGAGGAGCTGAAAAGTTGTCATTCAGGGCTCCCCAGGCAGTTCATGAGGAGAGAGAACCAAGGGTCAAGCCAAGCTCTGAGGGACACATGGGTCAGGGCCAAGGTTGGGCTGTTGGCAAAAAAGACTTTGCAGTTGAGAACTTGACCTGCCACTTCCTGGCTGTGTGACCTTTAGCAAGTTACTTCCCCTCTCTGTGCTTCATTCTACCAATTCTGAAATTAAGAGTCTGTAGCATCTACCTCAGGGCATTGCTATGAGGATGAAATGAGACCCTAAGACCTTACACCTTCCATTCCGAAGTGCGCTTTTCCCCCACATTTTGATGATATGAGGTTGAGATGCATTTGCCGGGTTCCCTGTCCCAACCCACAGCAAGACCTTAGTGAGTTTAGTAATACTTCTGTCAATGAAGAGAATGCCTCCTGGCACCCTAGTGGGTGGGGGTAGGGGCACTGATGAGCCTCTGGTCAGGCCCTCTCAGACCTCCCTCCCTCCCCTCCCCCCCAGCCTACCTGAAGCGCAGGTACGGCCTTATCAGCACTGGCTCCGACAATGAGTCGCCAGCCACCGGCTCCGAGTGCCCCAGCCCCTGCCTGCAGCCCCAGGACCTGAGCCTCCTGCAAATCAAGAAGCCCCGCGTGGTGCTGGCGCCGGAGGAAAAGGAGGCCCTGAGGAAGGCCTACCAGCTGGAGCCCTACCCCTCCCAGCAGACCATCGAACTCCTCTCCTTTCAGCTCAACCTCAAGACCAACACCGTCATCAACTGGTTCCACAACTACAGGTGGGACCGTGAGAGGGCCCGTGGCGGGTGGGCAGGGCCTGGAGGGAGCCCAGCACGGACGGCGTCTGCGAGATGGGGAGACCATATTGCAGGCGTGTTTAGACTTAGAATGTAGGCAAACCTGGATGTAAACTCCGGCTTTACCATTTCCAGCTGTGAGATCCTGGGCAAGTCATTTCACCTCCCTGAGCCTCAGTCTTCTGACCTATAAAATGGGAACCCTGATGGGATCTACTTCACAGAGTTGTCCTGAGGATTCGCTGGGCTAACATATTTACATGAGATGCCTGGCACATAGTATGTTGTGGGTGTTGACGTCATAATTGTCGCTGTCTTTATTACGACTTCTCCAGCTTGCTCTGTGTCTGCCCGTACGAGGGACAGGGAATGGTGTTTGGGGCACAGGCCTGAGGAACCTAACTTCCCACTGGAGCCCTGATTGGGGATCGTGGCCTCTCCCACTCCGGAGACCAGAGGAAAGCCCTCTGGTGGCCCCTTGGGGAGGGGGTGCTTCCTGTTTCTGTGGCTGCCTCCTCCCACTCACCAGGCCCCAGTCTCGGGGTCACTGACCTGCAGGGGGCTGGGCTTTCTGGGAGTTTGTTGGGGTGGTGACTGGGTCTGGCAGGTTCAAGGAGACTGCAGAGGAGCCTCCTGAGGCCGGCTGAGAGCCCTGTAGAGAATGCTTGATGGGATTTAAGGGGCCATCTGAGGCACCTCCTCTCCCCACCAAGCTTCCTGAGCAGGAAATATCTCTGATGTCTGTGTGGTACCAGAGAGGAGAGTCCATCTGCGTGTTCCAGGGGGCAGAGGTTTCTTGATCCCCAAGGGAGAAGAGGAAGGAGGGGTCTGGAAGGGTGGAACACTTGAAATCTCTCCCCACAGCCCAGGCTTGGGCATCACACAGACCTGAGTTCAAATCCCATCTTGGCTGTGTGTTCTTGGGCAAGTCACTGTACCTCTCTGAGTCTCAGCCCTGTTTTACCGATAAAGAACCTAATACCAACAATGCTGAATCAAGGATTAAATGAACCACTTGGGGTGTAAACACATTCTAAAATATTGCTGATTATCTGGCTCAGACCCAGAGCCTGCCAAACATGAAATAAAATGGGTTCTTAACACCTCATATCCTCCTTCCCTCCCTGGGGTTATAGGGACAGCCTCGCCCTTTTTGTTCCCCACAGGAACTGAGTACTCCATTATTACCCACAATATTCATTCAACAGATATTTGCCAAGTATGTACAGTAAGCCAGGTCCTGGAGAAATAGGGCTATAAAGCCACACCCCTGCCCTTAGGGAGCGTAAAACCATGAACTAGATAATTTGACTACAACCTAGTAAATGCTGTAAAACAGGAAGGAATGAATAGGGGCTGAGGGAAAAGGGAATTCTGCCTCCTGGAAGACTACAGAAGAGGTGGCATTTGAGCTGGGTTTGAAAGGATGAATAGGAGTTTGCACCAAAGAGCCAAGAGAATTGCACTCCCAAAAGAAACCACTCTCGAAAAGTTTTAATTATAGAATACACTATTTCATTTGGTGAATGTTTATTGAGCACCTACTCTGTACCAGACACTGAAGAGAACAAGACCAAGTTCTCACCCTTAGCACCCCTCAGAGATCATCAGGAAAGGTCACTATTAAACAAGCACTCACATTAATGTATCGTTACAAACTGCAGTGAGCTCTGGGAAAGATGAACAAGAGGATGTTTTGAGAAAAAATTACCAGGGTGGGCCTGTTATAGATTTGGGAGTCGAGAATTGCAAGGACTATAGTATGAATGACTATTAGTTTCATATTTATGTTTGATCTACAGTTTGGAAGTTCTCCTGATGGAGCTTTAGGCATTGAGCCACCCTAAACCTCCCTCAAATCCACCTCACTGGAAACTACTGGGGCTGCCCTGGTCCCAGCAGCTTTGCCCTTTAGCCGGGACTGAGGGAGATGACAGAGTCCCTGTATGGTGGACAAAGCCACCTTTGTGGAGGGACTGAGAAAGGAGAGTGAACCGGGTGATCCCTCACAGCCTCTCTAAGCCCAGGATCTTGGAATGGGGCCCCATCCCCTACCTGGGCGGGGAGCCAGGGAGGCAGGAGACCGTGGCCAGACTTCCAGGTTCAAAGCCCAACCGGACTGTTTTCTGGCTCTGATCGGGCACTCCCTGTGCCTCTCGGATCCTCGTCTCGTTTGCCGACGGGGGATGATAACGGCACGGTCTCCTTCACAAGGTTATTATGAAAAAGAAATGAGATAATCTGCAAAAAGTAGTTGGCCTGGAGCCGGGTACATGCAAGGACCCATTATTATGATGTTTGTAATAATTACAGTCGTTAGTATTACACATCAGTAACATGTACTTTATTATTAATATCAATGGGCAGAAGGCTACAGCATTGGAAAAACTGAGGAAGCCCTATTGCTTGATGACCTTGGATGAGTCATTTGACCTCTCTGGACCTCATTTGTTATAAGGAAAATAATTAATGGGCTTAGACCCATTTCTGGCCCTTCTTGCTTTAAAACATGATATATGAGACTAAGTTTCCCTCCCAAAGCAGGGAAGCTGTTGAAGTGAAGAGAAAATGGGTTGTGGACTAGAATTCGGACTAACCAGACTCTGGTCCCAGCTTTGCCCTTGTGTGCCGTGGTGATCTGGACAAGTCTCTCTCTGTGCCTCAGTTTCCCTGTCTGGGCTGACGTCTAAGAGCCCCTTCAGGGAAGACGCAGGAAGCTGTTGCCGCAAACCAGATAGGGTTTGACTCTGAGAAGTGCTCTGGAACGGCCCCGCCCAGTAGACGTGACGCGAGCCACACACACCATTTAAATTGTCAAGTGGCCGCGTTTAAAAAGAAAGAAACGGATAAAATTAAGTAACAGTATATTTTATTTAGTCTAACATATACAAATATAACCAGCTCAGCATTTACTCAATATAAAAACTTTATTAATGAGATCTTTTACTTTTTTCTTGTATTAACCTTTCAAAGCCCTGCCCTCACAGCGCAGCTCAGCTTGAACCGGCCACATGTCCGGCGCTCAGGAGCCAGAGGCTGCTGTACTGGGTAGCGCAGGTCTAGATCGTGACCTTGGGAACCCAGCAGTCCTGAGTTTAAGTGCTGGCTCTGCCACTAACAGGCTGTGTGACCTGGGCAAGTCACTCACCATTTCTGAGCCTCGTTATCTCCTCTGCGAAGAAGGGCTGTGGAGAGGACTCACTAAGAGGCTGCATATGAAGGAGCTTAGTGTCTAGTGAACCCCCGGGGTAGTGGGTGGGGTCAGAACACCCCCCTGTGGAGTGAGTCCAGGGCTAGCCGGTGCCCGCTTCCTCCCCTTGCTCACCATCATCTCTGCCCCAGGTCCCGGATGCGCCGAGAGATGCTGGTGGAGGGGACCCAAGATGAACCGGACCTCGACCCCAGTGGGGGTCCTGGCATCTTTCCACCAGGCCACTCCCACTCAGACCCCACCCCACAGAGCCCCGACTCTGAAGCTGAGGACCAGAAACCGGCCGTGAAGGAACTGGAGCTTCGGGGGGGCCCCGAGGAGAGCAGCACACCCCTGGCCGCCCAGGACAAAGCCCGAGTGAGGATTAAACAGGAGCAGCCCGAGGACAGTGCTGAGGAGGAGGTGGGCAGCCAGCTCCAGGGCTCAGGGGACCCAGACAAAGGCCACGGTTCTCCCAAAGAGATGCATCCCAACCCTCCGGATAATGATGGACTCCCCAAAGTGGCCCCAGGGCCCGTTTTTCCAAGTGGGACCACCCCAGACTGCCCCTTGCTACAGCCCCCCCAGGAGAGCAGGGGTGGAGAGCGGCTACACCCGGACCCCCTAAGTTTTAAGTCGGCCTCAGAGTCCTCGCGCTGCAGCCTGGAGGTGTCACTGAACTCACCCTCGGCTGCCTCCTCACCGGGCCTCATGATGTCTGTGTCGCCTGTCCCCTCCTCCTCCGCTCCCATCTCCCCGTCTCCACCTGGCGTACCCCTTGCCAAAGTGCCGAGTGCCAGCCCCACTGCCGACACAGCCGGGGCCTTGCACCCCAGCGCCAAGGTAAACCCCAACTTGCAGCGGCGGCACGAGAAGATGGCGAACCTGAACAGCATCATCTACCGGCTAGAGAGGGCTGCCAACCGGGAGGAGGCTCTGGAGTGGGAGTTCTGAAGGCCAGGGCGAGGGGCGTGCCCAGGTGGCCTCACTGTCACTCCCTGTCCCAGACCGCAGGGCACCGGAGGGAGGAACGCAGCCACCGAAATGTGGACAGCAGTGCTCCGCCGTTTACGTTGTTTGTTGTAATCCTAGTTCTAGAAGGTGTGAGTGAGCAGGGGGCAGAGCCCCGCCTCCTGTTTCTGCCCCTGCCCCGGAGCGCCCTGCGCCCCACCCTGGCCCCTGCAGGAGGAGAAGCCCAGTGGCGCCACATTTTCGCCTGGAAACTCCAAACTCTTTTAGAAAAATAAATAAATATTTATAGACCTCTTTTAGATATTTTAATAAAGGATCCTTTGGAATTTATTCCCAGCCGATGCTGTTTTGATATTACAGAGAGTTATAAAATCAGGATGCTGTCACAACTGTTGCGAAGTATACACTGAAGTTGTGTCGTTTTTGCCACTAGATGAGATTAAAAGAAGACAATTGTTCAAAGCCATCACAAAACGCTACGAGACTGACCAAAATTTAGGTAACCTTTGAACTGCGGTTGTTTTCCACGTCTGTCTATGAGACACAGCACATTGCTACTGTCCTTCCAGAATCCGTGCTCGAAAGAGAAAAGTCCAGAAGACTCTAAATGAAAACCTCGATGCCGCTGAGGACGTGTTTCGTTCTGGTGGTCTGTTCTGCGACCCGAGAACACAGAGTGTCCTGTGCCGTTGTACATTGTGTAGAGATGTGGGCTGCGGCCGACTCTCCTGTCTGAGAGGTAACGTGGTACAGAATGAACTGCCTGCACTCCAGTCAGAACCCGTGGGCCGCAGAGGTCACTGCCCAGCTTGTCCGCCAGGTTGTGTCACCAGATCCTTCAGAAAGCCAGGCCCGGAGGCAGGGGACTGCAGGGTGGCACTCGAGCCAGAGTGACCTCATTCCCCGACCTGAGTCGGCCACAGAGCAGGAAGTTTTCCCAGCGGTTTCTCCGGAGCCAGACTGTGGCCGCCGTCTTCCCCTTTCTGTGTTTTAAGAAAACAACAGCATCGGTCACCCCACAAATGCCCAGCTCAGCACCCAGCGCCGAAAAGTAGATTCATCGCACCGGAGACCGCAGTTCCCCTTCTTGTTGCCGTTTCTCTGAGTGGACCCCGGCACTCCTCCTGGAGGGCGGCTGAGACTCCACATCCACGCAGAACAAGCAAGAAGGTTGCGTTGGCCGCAGATGACCACCACAGCCCTGTCTCCAAGTCCTCCCTCCTGCCTTCCAGTGCATGGCCTTTTGGGGAGCAAAGACTCAACCCCCCAACTCAGAGAAGCCTTCCTTCCTTCCAACATCTCCATGGTTCCTAGGGGGAGAGCCCCAATCTGGATGGAACGGCCACCATACTGGTTGTTGACTCTCCCTCCCATTTTTATTTCTTACCCTTTTTCAAACTCTGTGGGAAGGCTGACTTGGGTGCCTCCCCAGCGGAATCCAGAATGATGATGAAAAGGTGGCCATACTGGTACCAGTCCATTGCCAGGGGGAGAGATGGCAGACGGGGTTTTGAGGATGCCACAGGCACTTTGGAACCAGACCAGTGAAACCTGATGACCAGAAGGGGACAGTTGAGGACCGTTCCAGAAATTTCAACTCTCATGCACCCAGCCCAGGCTGCAGTCTCCGCGCCAATCAACAAAGAGTAATGCAAACCCTGCAGGAAGACCTCCTTTTCCATACACCCAGGCTATGCATTGAAGAGTTTTCCACTGTATACATTTTTATCCAGAGGAAGGTATTTTTATATTTTGACAATAGGAAACAGTGACCAATTTTCAGAGTCATCAAATCTGGAACAAACGAAATCAGCTCCTTTTAGTCACCACCGCCCTGTCGCAATTAAGACACCATGGGGGAACACACCACTTTTTACTGTTGAAACCCACACACCATTGAAACCCAGGCTTACATGCAGACTACGATGCTTAGAAAACGAAATCTGGCTTTTGTGTGACGGGATTTGATTAAGCACTTAGTATAGTCTTTTGAACACGGAAATCCTGTTGTACTTAAAGCTAGTGGACCCGTGAACAGCTTTGCCACGGTCACGTCCTATAACGGTAAAAACAAAACAAAAACCCACAAAAACCATTTCTATGAGAGATTGATGAACTTTGTTTAAAATTTAAAAAAAAGGAACACGTTCTGTAAATGCGTCGCTCAATACAGAATTGTATAATAATGTCTGGGTGTCCTGCTTTCTTTGTTCTGGGGCTGGGGGTGCAAATTGGGGGTCAGATCTGGCCCTCAGAGGTGTTTTTATTTATTTATTTTTATCCACACCCGAGGACAATTTTCCATTTTTTGTTCAGACAGAGTGGGAGGGAGAGAGAGGAAGAGAGAGAGAGAAACATTGACGTGAAAGGGACACATCAAGTGGCTGCCACCCATACGACCAACCAGGGCCGGGGACAAACCGCAACCGAGGTACATGCCCTTAGTGGGAACCGAGCCTGGGTCTCTCTGGACCGCAGGCCGATGCTCTGTCCACTGAGCCAAACTGGCCAGGGGTCAGAGGTGTTTTTAAAATTAGTTTGCTACCATTAAAATATGGGGGAATGTTATATAAAAATTGCAATTACCGGCTTCCCTGGAAAACCATTAAGATCTTGCCCTGGCCAGTTTGGCTCAGCTGTTAGAGCGTCGGCCCAAGGACCAGAGAGACCTGGATTCAGTTCCTGCTAAGGGCATGTACCTCGGTTGCAGTTTGTCCCTGGCCTCGGTTTGGGTCGTGTGGTTGGCAGCCAGTCGATGTGTCCCTCTCTCCCCTCCCCACTCTATCTGAAGATAAATGCAAAAAATAAAATTCAGGTCCTGTGAACATCTTGGTGGGCAATTGTGCTATGGGCTCAAGCAAAGGAAGAAGGAAGAGTTGCAATCCTTTTCTCCACTCAGTGAGCAGGTGGAAGCAGGTTAGACTCTGGGGCCTGGGACCAAGGAGCAAGATCATGTCCTGCCCCCAAGTCAGTGGCCACAAGCCAAGGCCCTAAGACCAACCATTTTACAGGCTGTGCCCACCTCAGTGGAACATGTGAGTGGCAGGTGCCCCCAGCCTCCTGAGACCAACACAGCATCACCCCTTTCCCAGCTAGGACCTCAGTTTCCCCATCTGTAAAATGGGGGTGTCGCAACAGCCGGCTGAGAAAGGCATTGTAAGGAATGACCATGCGTGTAAGACACATAAAACAGTGTGTGTTACGCAGGGCTCGGTATTGTTATCACAAGGGGCCTTGGGTTCTTTCAACCCATGAGGATGAGTCTCTCTGCATCAGCTGCAGGAGGGTTGTTTTTTCTTCACCAATGTCAGGAGAGTCCCTGAAATAGCACTCAACATTACTCATCCATGAGCAAGGCCACATGGATCCCAAGACAGACCTTTCCTCTTTGTCTGGAAACCTTCCGATTGCCCCAGTTATCCCACACATCCTTGCAGTGGGAATCACATGATTAATCACCTCCCCCTTGGTTAGGATAACTAATGGCTCCCCCAGCAGGACCGCCCCCGGGGAGGCCTGAGTAACTTCATCAAGCTGGGGAGCGTAGCAGCAGGTAGGGGCAAGGCCCCGTCGGCCCTGGAGGTCCCAAGCTCACCATCAAAAGTGACAGTTCAGGCTGGCCCAGCCTGCAGTCAGAGCTGGAGAGGAGCAGAATGGGAGTCAGACGTTCGGGGTGTGAAGCTGGACCGCCTGGTTTCAGCCCCAGCTCCGCCAGTTGGAGCATGTGACCCTGGGCAAATGCCGACACTGCTGTGCGCCTCGGTTTCGGGCTGTGCGGTGGGGAAGGATAGCCGTGGCACCTTCCGTATGAGGTGGTCGTAACTGTTCAAATGAAGTAAAGCCAGGGGCTGGCTCACAGCTCTGGAGAAGGGCAGAAGTCAGAAATGCCCAGGATGGGGCCCCATGGAGTGGGGGGCCGGAGTGGGGGCACATCTGACGCACATGCCACCTAAGAGCCTGTGGAAGCAGGTGCCCTGGGCTGAGAACGAAAGCGCCATCCTGGGCCGTCGACGTTGGTATCCACATTGTGTCTGCAGCCGCTGCCCATCTGAAGTGGAAAATGTAGCAAAAAAACCCAAAATGTGGAATTCTGAACTAGGGACCGTGGGAGAGCGGGGAGCAGAGAGACCAGAGAGGTGTGAGGACGCAGGAAGAGGCGGGTTTGTACCAGGACAGAGCAGGGCAGAGAGCTGAGCTGGGCGCAGTTTGGCAACTATGCATCGGGTGATAAGTATTTCAGGAGTACCTACTATGCGCTCAGTGCTTCTGTGGCAGAAACACTGGGGACCCTGAGAACAGGAGTCATGGGGTCCAGGAAGGCTTCCTGGAGGCGGAGACGTCTCGGCAGACACCTGAAAGACAATAGGAATTAGTGAAGGGAAAAGAGGGCAGAAGGAATAGCAGGCGACATGTGGGACAGACCCAGAACATGGGGAACAAGTCTAACGGAGGTGCAATTCGAGGTGGGGGGACAGGGAAGGAGAAGGCCAAGGGCCAGAACCTGAAGCCCCGTGGGGCCTGGTAAGAAATATGCCTTTTTCCTGAGGGCACTGAGGAGCCATGATGATTTGAGGCAGGAAGTCGCTGTGGTCACACTTGTACCTGCCCAGGCTCACACAGCTAAAGGGAAAAGCTGCCTGAAGCAAAAATAAGCCTTTACTAAAAAAGTTATATGTCACGCATAGGGCATGAATACCCCACGTGACCTGCGTGTTGTTAGGAGTTTACGATCAGGTCACCCTGTGAGGTTACTTTCCCTAGAACCCTCCACACATCCCTGCCCCCCTTCCCCTCCTAGTTAAGCAACTTAAATTGCATCAGCAGCCCCACCTCCCGTCACCTCCTAGAATGAAAAAGCAGACCTCTCTGGCTCAGGACCACGGGGCAAGGTCATTCTAAATGTCAGGCTCTCCACAGCCAAGGAGCAGGTGTGTGTTGCTCCAGAAACGGGGTCGCCTTTGCAGGCACCCAGGAGCCTAGAGCCACCCCTCTAAACCCAAGAGCAGTGAGTGCCGGGCAGGGAACACCATGCTGAGCGACCTTAGCCAGGGTGACGCTCACCCTGGTGGGTCTCCCTATCTGCCACAATGAGTGGGCTAACACAGCTGATCTCGTTAATAGTCTGTGTGATCTCCAGCCTCCAAAGGTGTCGTCATCAAAAGCACTGGCTTTGGCCCTGGCCGGTTTGGCTCAGTGGTTAGAGCGTCCACCTGCGGTCCGGAGAGACCCGGGTTTGGTTCCCGCTAAGGGCACATACCTCGGTTGCAGTTTGTCCCCGGCCCTGGTTGGTTGTGCGGGTGGCAGCCACTCGATGTGTCTCTTTCACATCAATGTTTCCCTCTCTCTCTCTTCCTCTCTCTCCCTCCTGCTCTGTCTGTACAAAAAATGGAAAAATGTCCTCGGATGAGGATTTAAAACAAAAGCACTGGCTTTGAACTCAGCTTGGCCTGGGTTGGACCCCACTATCAGGCAATCTACGGCGCTTCAGTGAGACTCAGTTTCCTTATCTGTAAACTGGATATGATCGTGATTAACCGTATCCACCTGTAATTGGTTTCTACTGCTGCATAACAGATAACTGCCACAGCTTAAACCGGTAGACATCTCTCCGCCCTTCGGATCAGGAGTTTGGGAGTGGCCTCGCTGGATGTTTCCGGCTCTGGGGTCTCTCCTGAGGTTCAACTGTCAGCTGCGGCTGAGGCCAGCTGTAGGGCTGGAAAATTTCCCTCCAAGATGGCACACTCACGTGGCTGGCAAAGGGGTGCTGGCTGTTGGCGGGCATCTCTGTTCCCCTGCAAGTGGGACTCCCCACAGGGCTGCAGTGTCTTCCGTGACCTGGAGTCGGAAGCCCACTGCCGCTTCCATAGTATCTTTGTGGCCACACAGGCCTGCTGTGATTCAGTGTGGGAGGGGACTATCCCGGGTGTGGACACCAGGAGTCGGGGATCATCTGAGGGCATCTCAGAAGCTGGTGACCACACTGTCTGATAAGTTCCTTTGAAGATTTAATGAGCATTTCTTAATATGTGGTCCTAAAAATCCCTTGTTTCCTACTCAGAATGCAGCTTCCTGGTCCCTGCCCCCAACCTACTAACCCAGAATTCCTGGAGCCAGGGCCCAGGAATCTGCATTTTAAAGAAGTATCTCAGGTGACTAGACATCATGGGTCTCAGTAAACGGGAGGCAATTCTGATTCATTTTGC